CCAAACACACAGTGCTTCTGGGTCAGGAAGCAGCCAAGCCAACAGTGAGCACCTGCCTCGCGTATGTACAGAGACTCTCCTTTCCTCACTCTGCTCAGAAACCGTTTTTGAGGGTCGAGGCATCTCTAAGCTCTAATAAAACGCATGCTTAGCCAGTGGGAAGACATCAGCAGGAACAGTGGAGACCAAGAAAGCACACGCAAGGGATTTTTAGCTGAGTCTGTTTTATCCTTCTGGTCCCAGGGGATACAGTATTCAAGAAGAATTCCATCTAGAGGATAAACTACATGCTCATACCTGAAAAGCTAGGCAGTGCGACACACTCCTGAATACCAAGTGACACAACAAAATACCCTTGCTTAGTCACTACTAAGTTCTGTTAGAGACAACCAAACACTGTTTGCCCATAGTATTAGACTAGCATCCAATAACATTTACAAAATTACAATTTTCTTTGTGTCTTTAAAGAATTCTTTCAAATTTTAAGTACAAGCTATTTGGGAAGGATGCTAACAGAAAGCTATTCTATCAGCCCTAAACATTGAGAATCGTTTACCAAAGAGGAGGGGACAGATGAGGGTGAGACTGTGGCAATGGAAGCAGAGAGAAGCCAGCCTCTTCTCATCTCATGATGCCATCCCCTCTTGTCACGGATTATGTCCCCCAAAAATGTCTGTCAACTTGGCTAGGTCATGATTCCCAGTATCGTATGATTGTCTACCATTTTATCATCTGATGTGATTTCCCTGTGTGTTGTAAATGCTATCAATATGACGTAATAAGATGGATTCACAGAAGTTATATTGATGAGGTCTACAAGATTAGGTAGTATCTTAAGCCAATCTCTTTTGACATATAAGAGAGAGAAGTGAGCAGAGAGACACAGGGACCTCATACCACCAAGAAATCAGTGCTGGGAACAAAGTGTGTCCTTTTGACCTCAGGTTCCTGTGCTGAGATGCTCCCAGACCAAGGGAAGACTAATGCACCACAAAGACCTTCCTCCAGAGCTGACAGACAGAGAAAGGCGTCCCCTAAGAGCTGATGCCTTGAGTTTGGACTTCTAGCCTACTAGACTGAGAGAATAGATTTCTCTTTGTTAAAAGCCATCCACTTGTGGTATTTCTGTTATAGTAGCATTAGATGACTAAGATACCTCCCATTACCCAGAGCACCTCTATGCCCTTAAAGAGGAGGTGGAACACCGAGACTAAACACCACCAGTGGGGAAAAAAAGAAGACATAAAACTAAGATCTAGGAAAAAAGACATTTTACCTGCTTTAATATCTGAAACAAAAGAAAATCAAATCTTAATCACATTCATTTTCAACTTTATTATTACTCACCTCGCAATAACTATTTCTCAGAAAACAAGACAAAAGAATCTGGCCTGGAGAATGTACTCCTCAGAAAGAGAACGTGGGTGAGAGCCGCCACTCAGCAGATTGAGAAACTCTTTAGAACCAAAACTGATACACCACACAGGCAAGCGTCCAGCATAAGACAACCACAATTAAAATTCCCTATTGAAAGCATTACGGATTACAGGTGTTCCCCCAAAATAATGTGTTGTAAATCCTAGCCTCTATGCCAGTGGTTATAATCTCATTTGGGAGAATGTATTGTCTTTGTTAGTTAATGACACAGGATTAGTGTAAGGTGTGTCTTGAGTCAATCTCTTTTGAGATGTAAAAGAGATTAAACAAGCAAGAGAGAAAAGCAGTGATGGGGGATGAGAGATGCCAAACTACATGAAGATCACCCAGGAGCAGAAGCTCAAAGAGACAAGGACCTTCCTCCAGAGCTGGCAGAGAAAGACAGCCTTCCCCTAGAGCTAGCACCCTGAATTTGGACTTCCTAGTCTCCTAAACTGTGAGAAAATAAACTTGTTTGTTAAAGCCACTCACTTATGGTATTTGTTACAGCAGCACCAAGTAACTAAGACAGAAGGTGGTATCAGAAGTGACGTGCTGCTCTAACAGACAACTAAATTGTGGAAGTGGTTTCTGAACTGGGTAATGGGTGGTGCCTGGAAGAATTTTAAGGTGCCTAATAGTAAAGGCCTAGATTGCCTTGAAGAGACTGTTGGTAGAATTATGGACATCAAAGGCAATTCTGGTGAGGGCTCAGAAGAAAGTGAGGAGAAGCACAGAGACAGTCTCTATAGTCTTAGAGAATACATATGGCGCCAGTAACAAAGTTGATAGAAATGTGGACATTAAATGTGCTTCCAGTGAGACTTTAAAAGAAAATGATGAACGTGTGATTGGACGATGCTTTTTATGCAGTGGCAAAGAGCTTGTCTAGATATCGTTCAAATGTTTGGTGGAAGGCAGAACTTATAAGTGATGAACTTGGATATTTAGATGAAGAAATTTCTAAGCAAGATCTTAAAGGGGTCGCGTGGTTTCTCCTTGCCGCTTATAGTAAAATACACAAGAAAAGAGATGGACTTAAAAAAGAATTGTGCAAAAAAAAAAAAAAAAAAAAGAACTGTGCAAAATGCAAACTCAGTTGTACAAACTAAGGACACGTGTCCTAGGAACGTTCACCAAGGATATGCCCACACAATCTTTTGTTAAAGAGATTAAGCCTGTGACTGACAGATCTAACCAACTACCACAGCAGAATACCCATCAGTTTAGACTAAAGGGGACACAGAAAGAATGAAAGGAAAGAATGCTGTCTGCCTCTTGGAATTCTACAGGCAGGAAACAGGTCAAAGGAGCTACATCTTTTGTCCTCCAAGAAAAGGACAGGACCATCCCTGGAGCAACTCAGAGATCAGCATAACTGTTGGCAGGAGCAAGGGAAGCAGAGCTACCTCGGTCTCAAAGGGTGGGGCTAGGTTTCAAAGAGTCAGGTCTTCAACAACTTGGTTCCAGAGCTGCGATTCAGTTTGGCCAAGAGGATGGGGGTCACTGCCCAAAACTGAGGGGATGGGGCTGCCGCAAAAGAATGGGGCCTCCCGGGGCTGAGGGGGTGGGGTTGCCACTCTGATGGACCAGGAAAACGGGGCCGCCCAAAGCCAAGGGAGCAGAGTTGATGTCCCAGTGGGCCTGGAAGGTGGAACTGAAGCCGAGGGATCAGAGGCCTCCACACAGAATCCAGACAGCATGGCCAACACTCAGAGTCTGGAGGGCAGGGCCATTGCCTAGATGGTCTCAGAGAACAGAGATTATTTTCATCCTTGAGAGCTAATGTAAATTGTTCTGCTGCGTTTTGAACTTGCTTGGTGTCCTTTATCCCTTCTTTCTCTCCAATTTATTCCATTTGTAATGGAAATGTCTACCTTGTCCCTGTTCCACCATTGTACTTTGGAAACCAACAACTTGTATTCTAGATTTCACAGGTTCACAGATGAAGAGGAATTTTGCCTTAGATGGAATACACTTAATGTCTCATCCATATTTGATTCAGATGAACCTGGAGCTGATTTAAGATTTCTGGAATATGTGATGGGGTAAAATGTATTTTGCATGTGGCAAGGACATGAGTTTTTGGGGACCAAAGGGTGGAATGTTATGGATTGAATTGTGTCCCCCAAAAATACGTGTTATAAATCCTAGCCTCTATGCCGGTGGTTTGGAAACCCTGGTGGCGTAGTGGTTAAGAGCTATGGCTGCTAACCAAAAGGCAGGCAGTTTGAATCCACCAGGTGCTCCTTGGAAACCCTATGGGGCAGTTCTACTCTGTCTTATAGGGTCACTGTGAGTCGGAATCAACTCAAGGGCAATGGGTTTGGTTTTTTTTTGGTTTTATGCCTGTGGTTATAATCCCATTTGGGAATGGGTTGTCTGTATGTTAATGAGGCAGGATTAGTATGGGGTGTGCCTTGAGTCAATCTCTTTCGAGATGTAAGAGAGATTAAACAAGCAAGTGAGAGAAACAGTGACTGGGGAAGAGAGATGCCAAGTCACATAAAGATCATCCAGAGCAGAAGCTCAAAGAGACAAGGACCTTCCTCCAGAGCCTACAGAGAAAGAGAGCCTTCCCCTAGAGCCGGCCCCCTGAATTTGGACTTCTAGTCTCCTAAACTGTGAGAAAATAAATGTCTGTTTGTTAAAGCCACCCATTCATGGTATTTCTGTTATAGCAGCACTAGATAAGACAAAAAGGAAAAAGCTAAGATTCTGTGGGACATGATAATATCTACCCAGATTTTATAAATGTTTAATTTCTCAAAAAACTCAGAATCATTTCTCTACCACATGAAGTAGATTAGTAGTTGCCTGGAGCTGAGGGAATGACTACAAATGGATAAAGAGAACTTTTTGGGGTAACAGAAATGTTCTAAAATTGGTCAGTGGTGATGGTTCTACAACTCTGTAAATTTACTGAAAAATCACTGATTTGTACACTTTTCAAAAACCTAAGCAATGTGGTCTTGACAATAAGTGCAAGAAGGAAATCTAGAGAGGTGAGCTACTGGCATAGTAATGAAGAGTAAACACTGCTGGGGTTTTCCTCAACTGAATTACAATTCTCTCTAAATAAATGAAACTTGGAAAATTTTAAAAATAAAAAAAAAACCTTCTCTCTACCTCTAAGCTCTGCTCCATTACTCTGAAAATAGACTATGCTATAAAACTGAGAAAATGCAAACCAGAACTTTATAAAGGACAGGCTAGTTCTACAATCCTTCTCAGTAGAGTGACTTTTCTGCTTTGTACTGACATCGGAGTATGGGAGTGCTTATCCTAAAACCAGAATAGATCACTGGTACAAAGGAGACTCAAGGAAATCTCTGGCACAAAATCAAAGACTAGGAACCTGCAAATTAATCTACGAACAGAGCTCACAGGACCATCAGGTATTGGTTAAGGTTTTGTAATAACAAAAATTTGCTTTCTTCTTTCTGAGTTTCAGTGATCAAGGGCACATGACAGGCCTTCAGAATACGGCAGCAAGTAGCAAAGGCTAATCTTAAAAAACCCCGACAGCGAAGAGCAGAAGAGCATCATAATCACAGCAGAAAGAAATCTCAAAAACCACTGACCTGGTCCTCCTCTTCATCCTCATCCTCTGCCAGACGCTGCCTGCCCACTTCATACAGTCTGCACACCGTGTCCATGTTCAGGGAGTCCATGCTGCCTTGGTTCTGAAATAGAACACCCAGTGCCCAGGAGCAATTAGCTTTCAGAAGGCCCACAGCCACACCTCAGCTCTGAGACTCACAAACCTTGACCCTGAAACTTCTAAAGCTTCTGATACCCCAAATTCTTGATCTGATTCTGAAAATGTTATGTCCAGGACACAGAAAGGGAAAGAAAAATAAGATGAGAAGGCTTGGGCAGTGGAGAGAGAGGCACATGAGAGACCACCATCCTGGGGACCCAGCTGTCTTGCTCTGAAGAGAGATGGACTCCTCTGACACAGGGACAGCAGTGAGTCCAGGGTACAGGATATGGGATGCTCCAAGCTGTCTTATATTGGGACTTTCTTGTGATTTCTCTTGTTCTTTGTATTTCCCAAATCCCATCGAACAGGTAGGCTACTGTCACAATAATCTACCATGAGGAATGTACTGACTTTAGAGCACATCTTGTAACAGACAAAATGCCTATAGAACAATTTGAAAATGATCCTAAATATCAGAACCAAAGAGCAGGGCTTCTACAAACACCCTTTACCTCAATGACAGCGAGATAGCAGTCTTTGGTGTCTGTGCACAGGTCAAAGATATTCCGCTTCACATCAATGGTGGCTGGAAAACAGATGTGACAAGACTCGGAATTGGACCATTGCTGTGACCTTAAAGCTTTCGTTTCCTCTAAAGGAATTCAAGGTGATTTTTCATAACTATTTCCATAATTTCTCTGCTTTTCAATGAACACTGCAGTCCTCTCAGAAAACAGAAGAGCTTAAATAATGAACACCAAACATGACAAAATGATCAATGTCTGCCCCTTGATGCTCACCTATAGGTTTGTAGTCAGTTGCATTAAATGTTCGGAAGGATGACCCAAAAGGGCTTTTCATCCTTTCTTCCATTAAGTCATCTTCATCGTCTGCCTGCAACATAGCTAGTTGGGGAGGCAGAGAGGGATGGAGGGGGACAAAACACCATTAGAATCTGAAACATCTCCTATTTACAAGTGCAGAAAATGTTAATGGTCAATCAAGACTTTGGTGAGTTTCCCTGTAATAAATTCATTCTGCATCCAGTCAGTTCCGCAAAGCATCCTCCCTGCATATCCCTGCAATCGTGGCAAACAGTATCCTCTGCCTCTTGTCTAGCCCCTAACGAGTATTACAGGTGAAGGTTTAAATATTTTCATCTTCTCTTTTGTCACCATTTGTACAATCATTTTATCCTTCTTTCAAACTCACAAATGACAGATACTTCCAAAAAATATCAAATTAAGTGAAAGAGGAAAAAAGAGAAAAGGAGAATAATGAAGAAAAGTAAAAGCTTTATTACCTCCATACATCACTGTCCCTGTGTGGTTGAACACCACGCGGCACTGATCCAGAGCAGGAACTGTGTGTAAAAGATGGAAAGTGCGGAGGTCCCACTAGGAGGGCAATGGTCAAGGAAATTACAGAAAACTTCTTAAATAACCTCGTGGGGGACATTCTGAAACATCACTTTATTTTTCCTACCAGGTATTGATGCTGATCAGTATAGGCCCTCCATTTACAAGACAGAAAAGCTGATGAGATCAAGGTAAAATAAAAGCATGTAGAATACATATTATTGAATAATATCCCAGAAAATATCCTACTGTATCCTCAGATAATGAAAGCTACATGAGCTCCCTTCCTCTGAATGGCAGCCCTTCATTTTACTCTTACTTCTAGCAATTGATTTCTATAGAGCAAAGTAAAAGCCTTTTGAAAATAAATAACATTCAATTCTCCACTTGGGAAAGTGGGGGGCGGGGGGATGGGGGTAGGGTAGGGACAGAAGAAGTCTGGTCACTCTTCCCAATACAGAGAAAATGTGCACATTGATATCATCACAGCAATCTACCATAAGGATTGTAGACCGAAGTCTACAAGAGTCCACTGTAGATTCACAAACTTCTCTTCCAAAAGAGAAGGCACCCTATCATTACCTGTGTGGATACTTTAACCAAGTATTGGTGGAAAGATAAAACAAATTAAAAAAAAAAAAAAAAAATTTTTTTTTAAATAAACCAATGGAAAGAAAGACATTCATATAAAGGATACAATCTCAGTATTAATGATGACCTCCAGACCATTCGGATGGAAAACACCACTGATGTTCATGTTGAACTTGTCAAACTTGTGGATGGCCTGTGCAGAGCGGACATCCCAGAGGACGCCATCATTTAAGACAAGATCATCTGTAGGATTAAAGGTGGCACAGTTCCTCTTGTAGTTGTTGGCAAGATCTGGGTTAAACAGAGTCAACAGCTTGTTGCCAGTCTGAATATCATAAATCTTTAGAGAAGAAGGGGTAGGGAGAGAAAAATCAGACCAATGCATCTGGTGACCAATTCAAAGAGAAGCTGTGTAAATCTCTCTCCCTGCTTTCCAAGTGCCCCCAAAATTAACAAAGCCGTAATATTCTAAAATAACCAGAAAGGAGGAAGACCACACCCATCTAAGCAAAATTTAAGTGCTTTGGTTCTCATTCAAGGTTTGAAAACTCCCTTTCCCACAAGTAAGAAAGTGAGAAGTGAGTCGATGGTAAGGACAAGAAAACCCTCTCTTCCCCTTCCCTTTTCAAGAAACAGGAAATGTTTCTAGGATTAAAACTGAGAAATTCTCCATCCATTTCAATGATTACCCACAGAATACGCCTTAAGAGTTACTTCGGGGGTGGGGGGGAATCATTTAAATACTCTTTTCTCTGTAAAATCTCCCAATATCCATATGTTAGCCCCCAGGACTGAAAGTTTCCGAAGTCTACACTGTGCAGCCCATGCAGAGACCAGATCTCTTCCATCGGCTTACAGACGTGCTACAATATTTCCAATCTTTAAAAAAAATCCTCCTTTGATAAAGGAACAAGTAAGGAGACACCACAAGAAACAATCAAACAAATCCAGATCATGGGACAACTAGCCTGGTCTCTTCAAAAGTCAGTGTCATGAAACTGAAGAAATGGATCTTGGCTTTAAAACATTAGTGAGACATAACAACCAAATGCATTATGTGAATCTTGGCTGGATCCTGGTTCAAAAAAAAAAAAAAAAAAAAGAAATCAAACACATCAGGAACAACTGGGAAAAGCGAATATGGACTGGATTATTAGATTATATTAGGGAATTACTATAAATTTTCTTAAATTTGATAATAGTAGTGTGATTATGTAATAAAATGTCTTTATAATTAGAAAATACATGCTGTAGGACTTAGGGATAAAATATCATGATGTTTGCAACTTACTTTCAAATGACTCAGAAAATACATTTACACAGAAAGAAAATATGGGAAAATATTAACTACTGATGACATCTAGGTGATGAATGTATATACTATTCTTTCAACTTTTCTGTATGTTTTAACATTTTCAAGTGAAAAGTTAGGGGGGATTCTCCCTTCACCACCCCATATCCCCCCCCTTCCAGCTACAATCCCACTTCTCTGCTTCATTTTTCAAAACACTTCAAAAGAGTTGTCTATACTCACTGTCTCCACTTCTCTGCTCTCTCATGAACCACTCTAATCAGCCTCACAGAACTAGCTCCTGACACGGTTAACACTGACATCCAGGTTGTTAAATCAAAGGTCACCTCTCAGTTCTCATCTTATGCAACTCATCAGCAGCTTCTGACCTAGTCAAACAACTTTCCTCAAAACAGTCTTCACCTGGCTTCTAGGGCACTGCTTTCTCCTAGTGTCTCTTCCTGTCTTACTGGCCATCCTCCTTGTTCTTCTTTCCAAGTCCCTCCTCACTTAGCAACTTCTAAATATTGGTACAAGCCAGAGCTCCGTCCCCACACCTCCTCGTGATCTCACCCAGCTTCACCTGAATCAACATGTGGGAATCTCCCACATTCCTAGCTCCCATCCTAGACCACCCTCCTGAACTCCCAATTTGTACACTCAACTGCCCATTCCCTGCCTGCATGTCTAATAGAATCTCAAACTTCATGTCTCCAAAACCACAGGGCCCAGCCCCATCACTTCTCATCACCTCCACCAGGCCCACCTGGGCACAGTCCCATCACCACCCACATGTGGGCTGACACAGCACCCTCCTAACTGGATGGCCTGCTCTTGCCTCTCTCACAAGGAGTCATGCTGTAAGAACTTTACATCCACTCATGTATCCACAGCCAGCAAAGACGCTACCTGAGATGGTCCCCTCACTGACTTAGCCGTCCTCTCCTCTCCCTCTCACATCCCAAACAAGGGCTTTTCCCTTGCTAATCCCTCTGCCTAGGAACACTCTTCCCACGCGTATCAGCATGACACCCACATTCCCTTCAGGTTCTGCTTAAATGTTACCCAGTCTGTTGAGAGTGAGTCTTCTAGAAGTTCCCCACCACCACCACAGCCAAGCATTTCCTACCTCTTACCCTGTTTTCTGTTTCTCCACAGCACTTACCACCATACGTACCATATATTTGCTCCTTTATCTCGTCTCCAGCAATCAGGCTCCATAAAAGCACATGCTTTATTTCATCTAAAACTTGTATGTGCTCAAAATATCTGTTGTTCTAATAACATCTTTCTCAAATTGTCAGATTAAGTTTCATGTTCAGCCCTTTTACATATTTCCCACATAGCTTAAAACTACCTTATTACCCTCCTAGACTCTTGACTCTTAACATTCACAATCCAGATTTAGTGTGAACAAATGGTATAATCAGCTTTAAAGCAGTAGATTCTTAAGTACTTACGTGGGCAATGTCCCCTTTTGTGCCTATGACCCGATCCTGAGAGTGCTTACTGAACTCAACATAGTGATCTTCCGTGAAGGAATGCCTATGGACAAACAACAGAAATACTAAAGTAACAGGCCTCCAGAACATACTCCTTCAATGGACTGAAAATAAGGGTGATCCTCAGCCTCTTGCCCAGCCATGCTCACCTGAAGATCATCAGTTCACAGAGAGGAAAAAGGTACACTTTGTCGAAGGAGACCCAAGAGAACTGACAGGAATTACTTGGTTACAGAAATGGCTAACCGGGCACAAGCGCTTTTGAAATATGCCCAAGAAAGAGTTCAGTATGTGAAGCTGAGATAATACATAGATGTTCCACTCTGGATTACTGAAGGGTCTGCTGCACAATGGGAGTAAATATTCTTACACCTGGTAAGAATATTTAGGAATTAAAAAGCATAAAATCTTATTAAACATAAGCCTCAGATAAGGGAGAAGTCAGTAATAACTCACAGTATTCCTCATTTCCCAAAAGGTTTTGAGTCTAAGAATGGGATAAAGGGAGCTATAAATAAGTGAATAAAACAAAGAAAGACTAGATACATACTAGTATCTAGACATGCAAAAGCAGATACATACTTCATATCGAATACTGATTTCATTCCCCAAAGTGCAGACAGAGGCTGGCTCCAAGTAGCAGATGTCAGCAGCAAGGACCCATCCTAAAAGAAGAAGGAGGTCTAAGGTGTGTAACCATGTGTTTACATATATGCAGATGTTGCTATCTGCCATCAGCATTTAGAAAGATACACATACAAAATACTGTTACAGAGAAGATAGGGAAAATTCCCAGGAGCCCAGAAATGGTCAAAAACCACTAGGCTTTAAGTACCCTGTACCTACCATATCCTAGAAAACAACTGAATTTAAAATAATAATAAATTCTCCTGAACTAGTAGTAACACAAAATGCAACAGTTCCAGGGAAGGGGGAAAAAAAAAACTTGGAAAGATGTCAAATATGGTTCCTTCCTTCTTAATATTTAACCATTTTCCTCAGTCTCCCATATCTGAAATATCAGTCAACTAAAAACATTTGTTAGACTTTCTGAGGACTGTTTTTCAAAACAAAGCCCAATAATCAGAAAAATATCCTTGTCATCTCAATAATCCTGACTTTTAAAAATAACAAAGATGTCACTTCCGTCCAGAGAACAGTACTAATAAACTATAACCCAGTTGAATCATACAAACACTTGGCTTCCTAAAACTTCACAGCACTCTGAGATGTCTTTATGATACTGTGGTGCAATGAATTACTTAATATGGCCCTTCTAGCCATGGTCTTTGTGACTCACGCACAATGATTGAGTGGGACTATGCAAATAAGGTATATGGAACCTGTGATGGTTGGGGTTATGTGTCAACTTAGCTAGGCCATGATTCCCATTATTGTATGGTTGTCCTCCATTTTGTGTTGTGGATCCTGACCTCTACAGGCTGATGAGGCAGGACTGGTGTAGGGTGTGTCTTGCTGGAGGGAACGACTCAAGTCCCACTCTTTATGTCCTTCCCTGGGGTGTGGCCTGCATCTAAGATATATGTGTGTGTCCTGGCAAGGCTCTCCCTCTGCATCCGATCAACTGACCTCCAGCTGTTGGGACTTGGGCCACAGGCCTGCTGTCTGACCTGCCATTTGCCAGCCGCCATCATCTGACCTGATTTGCTAGCTTCTGCAGCTTGGTGAGCCAGCAACCTGTGGTCTGAACTGCCGGTTTGGGTTTGTCAGCCCCTGCAGCCACGTGGGTTGAGAGAAGCTTACTCCTGACCCAGAGATTTAGGACTTGCGAGCATCCAGCCTCCACAACTGCGTGAACCATTTCCTTTATATGGTTCATGAGTTCTGTGAGATGCTGTAGTGAATTACACAACCAAAGGACTGGAGGGAGTACTGAGGAGAGAGGGAGTAGCTGATGTGAGAGATGGAATGATAGAGCAGTTTGGAAACACTGGACATTTGGGGCATCTTTAACCTCTGCCTCACAGGAACCAGCTTTGTGCTGATGCTTATAAATTATTCATTTAGATACCAAAAACAAAACAAAACAAAACATATATGCATGTGTGTTTGTGTGTCTATCTCTGTATCTCCAGGTGCTGGCAAACTTAAGGGGCCAGATAGTGCGTATTTTAGGCTTTGTGGGCCACAAGGTCTCTATTGCAGTTACTTACCTCTGCGGTTTTAGCGTGGAAGCACCCACAGAAGTATGAGAATGCTCATGAACGTATGGGCATGGCTGTGTTCCAAGAAAACTTTCTATACGAAAACAGGCAGCCAGCTGTTGGGCCCATAACTCACCTACTCGCCTCAGAATAATGATAAAGGGCCCTTACCCTGGAAGGTTCAAGGTGTGTGATGGCTGAGTTGTGACAATTATAGCTGGCCTCCTCCTGTCCACTAAACACATTATAGAGCTTCAGCTGTCCCGTGCAGGTGCCAAGCATCAGGAACCGCTCCCGTGCTGAGAATGCACAGCAGGTGAAGCCACTCTCATCTTCATTGGCTTCCCGGAATACTGAAATAGGACGGAACCTAAGCAAAAGGAGAGAATTACAGACAGACAATGTGCAGGGGCTCAGATAAAGCTAACTTTGCTAGAAGGATGAGAGAAAAATAGAGCATTTGTTTTAAATGAGTTCTTACAAAATACCACAGTGATCTTCAGTGGTCCATTTTCATTTTAAATCAGAGAAAAGGACCTCCACTTACAAAGTTAAACAACAAGAACAATTCCCACGTTTAGAACTTGTGGTTCTACAACCTTTATGTAAGATTTGTAAAGAATCAGAAGAGGAGGCAACTCAGACTGCCACTAAAAACAAGTCTAAGAGCCTAGGTAGGAACAGATGTTGCATGGGCTCTAGAAGACAGAGTTGTCCAAGTACGGAGAATATTGTATTAATCTTGTCAACAGTCATACAACGAACCTATGGTCAACAAAAGGGGTACAGTTATATTGTTCATGTAATCACAGAAAGTAACAATCAGGCCAATTGTTGCAGGCCAATAAACAGCTTTCCAAACTAACCACTCTATGCTGAAACTGCCTCAACATGGATTTATATATAAAAATCATTCTAATTCCAGGGCATGAGGCGGCCTCTCCTTACCTGCTAAAGATAAGGTGCCTATCAAAGCATCCGCCATCCACCCCTCCATACTTTGGAAATGATGCCCTGCGGTTTAGCCTTGAGGTAAAGTTTATTGGCGCTTGCCGCCTCTGTTTTGGCTCAGGACACTGGTGAGGAGTAAAGAGAGAGAAAGGTGGGCAGGTGGCAACTGGGTTCTTGCAGCGAGCATGCTGCTCTCTAAGATACTCTGTGATGATACTGTCCAGCGTAGGTGGGGAAGGAAGATGTCTGTCCAACTGCTTTTTTATGGCTGGACTTTGGCTGTAGGCGCCATGGTCCGACTTCTGCCGCAACACTCTGATTTTTCTGCCATTACAGGGCGATGGCCTCTCTCTCATAAAACTGATCCTGCCAATCAAAGGGGAACTGCCTGCATAAGATGGGCCGGGCAGAGCTAGTGAACTCTGGGGTGGCCGTGGCTGAGGGTGGGCAGCAGGGGCAGGGGGGGCAGAAGGGGCCACGGCAGCATGGCTGCTCAGTCGGGTTGCAATGCCGTTGGCAATGCGAGGAGTTCGGGGAAGAGAGACAGGGGAAGCAGCAGCAGTGACTGGGGTGAAGGCAGAGGAATGGGACGCAGCAGTCATAGGCAGGTCTGCCTCTTTCGTCAGCACAGTTGCTGTCTCTCCAAGCCCTTTAGAAATGAGATGGTTTCGTATCAACAGAAGTAGCTCTTTCTCAGGGAAGGAGATCCTTGACTGAGCGACAACATCTGCTTTCTGCAGTCGTGCCAGGGACACATCGGTGCCAATGAGAAGTGGCTTTCCTGACACCCGTTCAATGAGTTCAGCTGCATACTTGCAGAACTTGACGTGGTCGCTGCGCTTGTCCTGCAGCACAGGCTCCTTCATCAGCTGCTGGATCTGGCAGCTGCTGAAAAGGGGCAGTTTGCTGATGATCTGCCGGACAGTGCTACTACGAGACAGGCCCACTAGGGCCTTGCAGGCCAGGGCCCGGATCTGGTCTGCATCTGTGATGGGCATCTTGATGGACAGTAAGGACAGGAGCACCTTGATGCCATTGTTGGACTGGACCACATTCCACATCTTAGCCAGGGTGTGCTCACTGCTTTTGGGGGTCTGAGGCAGCTTTCTCCGAGGAGTTCCAGAGATAAATTTGCCAATACTGGAGATTCGGTTATCTGGGCCACACACACAATTGATGATAATTTGAAGTGCTGACTTCTGGATTTCAGCATCATGGATAAAGAATTCACCCTCAGCCACTCCCAAAATAATGCTGATACCTATGGGGAAACAACAAAAATTTTTATATTATTCCTCATATAATGAATGGCCAACTTCACCACGTCTCAGAGTCGAAATTTGGAGTTCTATTCATTTGTTCTATTCACCAGAAAACTACCTCACTTTTTTAAAAGCGCAAGGAATTGTCTGTATAAAATACAATCACTTCCACTACATTGTATCTTTAGAACACAACACCTCATATGCAGTTGTTAAACAGGGGAATGATGTCAGTTATTATGTGGAAGTCACCAAGGTTTCTGTGTAATTTCTCCTAGGTAAGGGGAGCAGAAGTAGTGGGAATAAAAACCTCAAGCAGAAAAGGAACACACTCAGCTTCGCTGCTACAGTGGCAGCAGGAACCCTTTCCGCTATGTATCAAAATTAAACCCACGTGAATGCGCCTTGGGCGTCCTCCCCAGAGAGGTGCACCCAGGACTCAAAGCCAGTCACGACGCATCCCAGGCTCCTTCGGCAGCAGCCCAAACCATCCCTGCTCTAAATAAAGCACTGCCAGTGTTTTCCTTCCAATTCTGTGTATGGAGCCTCTACCCATTCTGAGCTGCTTGCCAATTACTGTTCTTGTTAGTGCTCAGGTTACAAACTGGAGTTAAGATTTTGATTGCCTGCCCCAACCCATTTTTCTGATAAACTTTGTTTTTTGTGCAAGACTCTGCAGTGTGAGGTTTTTAGGAATGCGCACGTACCATTATAGCACAAACGTATGTACCACTCAGAAAACTGGAGTTTACTAGCACGACTCCCTTAAATGAAACTGTATGACACCATTTACAAGGCAGAGACAAGGTACCCTCCTCTGCTTCCTTCTGTTCTAATATGGCAAAATTAGATCAGGCAAGTAACCATGACTAGAATAGCAAAGGAAAACAAATTCAAACTAAGCAACAACAAAAATAGCAAGGTACAACGTACCTACAGTGGAGACAGTGGAGCCAGCCTCATCCAGCACATCCACTGATTCTGCCAGCTGGAGCTGGATTTTTGGGACTACTGTGAGAATAGCCAGGACATCCAAAGCAAAGCGCACAGTGTCATTCCTGGACAGGAAGAAGAATTAGTCAAAGTGAAACTAGGTAACAGTCACAAGAAACAACAACAGTCTTTCAGAAAAAAAAAAAAAAGTACAAAGGATCAGAACCACTGCCTGTGTGGCTCTGTCCCTAGCCATGGCAGCAAGAGAGGACTTGTAAGTCACCATGACATTAACTTTAAAAAACAGAGGAATGAATTTTCCACCTATCAAACTGCTGAGATTAAAAAAAAAAAGATAATCCCCAATGCTGATGAGGTTTGGTAGAGATGAGTGCTCTCAAATTTTTGGTGGGAACAGAAATTACAACACTCATTTTAGAAAGTAATCTAAAAATACCAATCAAGATTCTTAAAACATTCATAACCCTAGGCCCAGGAATTTCACCTATAGGAATCTGTCCTAAGGAAATAATCAGTAGTAAAAACAAGAATTTATGTATTGCGATGTCCATTACCACATCATTTAAAATAGCAAAAAGATTAGAAAACCTACACAATCAACAGGAGTAAATGTGTTAAATTACAGCACCCTCATATGATGAGCTACTCTGCAGCCACTGACAAACTGTGTAAAGGACAAGGGAAAAGGTTCAAACAAAATACATTAATGAAATAAAAATCTAAGATATAAAACCAAAAATCTGACAATACCAAGTATTGGCAAGAAGGTAGAGAAATGAAAACTCCCACATACTGCTGGTGGGAGAAGAAAACAGTATGATCACTTTATAAGCAATTTGGCAATATCCAATAAAGGTGGAATGCAGACACTCTATCAGCCAGCTTCTAGTCATATCCTGAGAGAGACTCCAACCGGAGGTCTGTGGTACCATTTCTTTAACAGCAAAAAACAAACACTAACTGTCCATCAATAGGGGAACAGATAAACCATAGTACAGAAACGCAGCGGCTTAAATGAATAGCACACATGTATAAATCTCAAACATACAGGGTGAAAAAACATTGCTAAAGATGCATACAGGATAATATTTATGTAATGTAAAAACATACAAAACAGCACTGTATTATTGTTTATGGACACACACATATGTACAGCATGAATGGAGAGAATGCACTCCAAATTCAGAAGAGCGGTTAGGACTCTTGGAGGCAGGGACAGGAAAGGAAATGAGGAAGAAGGAAATATAGCAAAGTGTCAATCCTGGTTAAACCTGGCTACGGACTAGTTGTTACTTTATTCTGTGCACTTTTTTGTATTTTGAAATATTTCATTAAAAAGATGAATTTGATTAAATAGTATTATCTCAATTAAGAATAGTCACATACATTAGAAAACAGACTGGAAGGAAATTAGCAGTGTCTAAAAGTAATTTTCTCTTTTCAAGTTTCTGTATACTCTAAAGCAAAACCACATTTATTAATTTCATTTTTAAAAAATTAACTTTAAAAAATAAAGGGCATACTTCAAATATATTTATATTTTCTTAGTACTTTAAATATACATTTATCAGTCAAAAACGTATTTATACCTTTCCTAGTTATATTTTGAGGTTTCATCATCTTTTAAGCAAAGTTCTCCAAGTAAATATATAACCTACTTCTTTTCAATACTCTAAAACAGCAGTTCTCAAAGTGTGGTCAGAAGGTCCTGTGAGGTAATAATAATTTTCATAGTAATACTAAGAAGTTATTTTCATTTCTCACTGTCATCCTCTCACGAGTGTATAGTGGAGTTTTCCAGAGGCTATGTGATGAATGAAGACACAACAGATTGAATGCAAAAGCAGATTATGAGATTTTAAGCCAGACATTTTAAAAATTTGCTAAAATCATCTGGTTTTTGTTTTGGAAATCTGCTAACATAAGAAATGCTAACATGCAATGGGTTCATATTATTTTTAAATTAATCAATAAACATTTAAAAATTTTTCTCAGTTTTAATTTCTAATATGGTAAATACCAATAGCTGTAACACAAAAACAAAAGCTCTTTGTGGCTGTCAACAAGTTTTAATATGATAAAGGGTCCTGGGAGCAAAAAAAATTTGAGAACACCTGCCCCAAAATACCCCCCTAGATTTAATACCCTGGAACTTAGCAAAACAAGCTATATTTACCCTAAACAAGCCCCTCTGGTCTTTACTGCAGTGAGTGGATAGGAAGAGAAGGCTAAGAACAGCTGTTTGCAAACTCTGTTACTATCTTCTCTTCAGATTGCATCTTTTCCAAAATGAAGTGTTAATTCAAACAGAAACCACCCAACCTATTGATTACATCAGCTGCCCTTTTCTGAGCCTTGTCCTGCTCTACTCTGACTGCCTTTAAAGTGAACTGTAATAACAGCGTATTGAATTCCCAGAGCAAATATACAGTTTTATGTGAAAGTAAGATAAATTGTATCTGTCAAAAACTAAGAAGACATTTAAACTCTAAGTATCAAAGAATACTATGACAGGACTCCCTTATGCAACCTCTCTGAGAGTACTGATGTTGCTCCCTGCCTACTGAGCAGTATTTATAACTACCAAGACTATAAAAATGAATAGGCACCCTTGTAAATTAGTAATCATATTATCATGCTTAATCCAGTTTCTCAGACTCAAGCCCAAAATTTCAATTCAAGAAATACTTGTTAAGCATACACTGTGTGCAACCAATATCAACTTTAGCAAAAAGCAGGATCTAGCTTCATCTGCAACCTCTCTCTGGTCCCACCTTGCATAATAGGTCTTCCAATTGCAGGCAATAGAAATAAGCTGCAACAAGAGTTGCACACAAGAAAGTTTGAGGAAGACTTCAGCTGGTTCCCAATATAACTGCGCTGGGCCGTATTCTATCAAAAATTCCATCATTTCCACAATCTGTTCATGAGTATATGAACATGCCTGTAAGGAGAGATATATATTATTAAAGAACGCTATCATTTACCTACCACCCTCTCTAGCATGGTTCACTGGGCAACAGGTTTTTTAACAATAAAGCTAAGTAATAATAGTTTTAAATATCACAATACTTGAGTCAGTAGCCCACGTGTGAAATAATGAATATATAATGTTCAATTTATTTTATTTACTCTACCCCAACTTGTTGGTACATATTTTAATTTGTGATTTTTAAACCATAGATACATATATGATCTTGATCCCAAAACATATTGAGTACGTTAAAAAAAATGACAGAAAAGTGGAGTTGTACCCATCAACAAATGAATCAATACACAAAATGTGGTACACACATATAATGGAATACTACATACTCAGCCATATACAGAAATGAAGTCTTGATACATGCTACAACACAGATGAACCTCAAAGACATTATACTGACTAAAGTAAGTGAATCACAAAAGGACAAATACTGTACAGTCTCACCTACATGAAATGACAATATGTAAATATAGAGAGACTAAGGGTTATTATTAGTGGTTAGCAGGGGCAGGAGAGGGGAGGGAAAGGGAATCATTCTCTGGGAAGTAGTGAGTTTCTGTCTATGGTGACGGGAAAATGGACATGGATTAAGGACAATGGTTATACAAGCTGACCTACGTAACTGGTATCACTAAACACTATCAGAAAAAGGGCAAAATGGCAAATGGTGTATTATATGTAATTTTACAGCAGCAACAATAGCAACAACAAAACCTAAAAAAAAAAAAAAAAAGTTGTTGATACTACTTAGGTACAACCAAACACCTCATGGGATTAGTTTTCTTGCTTCGAAGGCTTAGGGTTACAACTCAGAATCAGAAACAACTCAGGATACAGTTCTTTGATCAGGACAGCCTCTTCTCAGCTGTGCCCAAAGGCAGGCCTCTCCCTAGCCCTTGAATCCTGAGGCCAAGCCAGCCTGGCCACTGTGCTACTCAGGAAAGTGTTATAAAGCTCTTTAGCTCTATCGATAAGTGCCCAGAGGTACCCTACTCCACCAGCAAGCCTCCTGTCTGAAGGTGTTCAGCTTTCTTGCTCAGTGGGTCAGGAAGCCCACTGTACCGTCTCTTGCCAGTCTCCTGGTTCTGCTGCCTTTGCTGCTGCCATTTCTCTGCCGCCTCCGGTGTTACAGCTCTCTGTCTCGGGTCTAGGAGGTTCTCAGCACAGGGATCCTGGGTCGAAAGGACATGCTCCACTCCTAGCTCTTCTTTCTTGGTGGTAGTGAGGTCCTCCGGTGCTCTGGGATTGGCTCTCTTTTTATGCCTAGTGGGATGGCAAAACTGACCAATCCCCTCGTTAGGGTTCCATACAACTTATTTGCATGGTCCCACCCTGAAGGATTTTATCTGCATTATCAGCAATGCTGTCCAATCCCCTTGGTGGGACACAAGAACCTTATCTGCATAGTCCCACCCAATCATTTTGTAGGAGTCACAAGACCACGCATGGCTAGAAAGGCCAAATTAAGTAATTCACTGAACCACAGATCCTGATCAAAATGGAAAAAAGGTAGAAGAGAATTCTATATTCCTATGGAATCCAGACTGACTGGATCCACTGAGACTGGAGGAAGCCCTGAATCTACTGCCCTCAGATAACCTTTAAACCTTTAACAGAAATTATCCGGTAAGTCATCTTTAAACCAAACAACAGTTTTGCTAAATTGGTAAAAAATCTTTGCCTTGAGCATTTCGCTTCTTTAAAGAATTATCTATGTGACTTGTGAAGAGTGTGCTTCTTAGCTCAAGTAGATACATGAGACTAAATGGGTAGCTCCTGTCCAGAGGTGAGATGAGAAGGCAGAGAGGGTCAGGAGCTGGTTGAATGGACACAGGAAATCAGGGGTGGAAAGGAGGAGTGTGATGTCACAGTATAGGGAGAGCAATTAGGGTCACATACAATGCATGTATAGATTTTTGTACAAGAGACTAACTTGAATTGTAAACTTTCACTTAAAGTACAAAAATAAAATTAAAAAAAAAAAAAAAAGAATTATCTATATGAGATCAAATTGACAACAGTAACTCTAAAGCATAGATAAGTTTAGGGGGCAGTGAGGCAAGGTTAAGGAGCCCTGGTGGCGTAATGGTTAAAGCACTTGACTGCTAACCGAAAGGTCGGCAGTTTGAAACCATCAGCAGCTCCATGAAAGAAAAGATGTGGCAGTCTGCTTCCGTAAAGATTTATAGCTTTGGAAACTCTATAGGATCATTATGAGTCTGAATCAACTCGACAGCAGTGGGTCTGGTTTTGGTTTGGAGGCAAGGTTGATGGTGATGAAATAATCTGGGTAGAGATTATGACAAAGATGACACAATGTGAAGAATGTAACCAATGTCACTGAATTATACATGCAGAAATTGTTGAATGAGTGTGTTCTGTTGTATATATAATTTCATCAAAAATAAATATAAAAAGGGAAAGAAAAGTAGAGTTGTAGATACATTCTTTTAGAAAAGAAATTCCACACAGAAAGAAGTAGGATATCTAGTACTTTTTATAACAAAAAGGCTCTCATTTACACACACTTCAGTTAATCTTTTAGCTCTAGTATTCCAGAGAAGAGAAATAGCAATTTACAACTGTGAGCAAAGTAAGTCCTTGAAATTCAACTATTAAGTCCAGTTTTCACTGTTCTGCCTCCACAAAGGACAAGTATAATCCAACAATATATATCCTTGAAAGTGAGTTTGGGGCTTGAGATGCTACACAGAGTGTTAACAGAACTTTCCCCTTTAAGACATGTTCCACTCACCTTGTACGGGGGCTGAGGATGGACAAGAATACCACCTTCAGTCCTCTGAAGCGACTGCTTCACTTGCTCCAATTTAATGGCCAGGTGAGCCTCAAAGTACTTGCGCAAGGCCATGCAAGTATGTTTCCCAGTCTGGCGGCTAGCAAATATTTCATCGTCACTCAGAAGTGCACCTTGATCTTCTAAATTTAAAATCTCCAAAGTACTTATCTGTTAAGAAAGAAGCAAAAAGAATGGGGCAAAAGGGGACAAAAGAACGAGCAGGAAGAGAAAAGTAAAAGGAGAAAAAAAGGGGTAAGATTTTGGTAAACTTTTATGCTCAGTAAGACTGACAAACATCAAAGTACATCCATGCAACATGGTAACAGTACACATATGAATGCAAAATATTAAACCCATACTGAAAAATTACACTGCTTTCAATCCATGTTGGAATATATACAAGCATAAAACCGTTGCTTTTGGATTCTCAACAGCAATTCCTCCTACAAGATTACAATATCCAAGGCAAGTCTATCGTGGCACAGAGTTCTCTAACCACTCAAAGGGGGCAGAAAAGACTTCATCCACAAAAAGCTATCAGGAAAATGCCTGCAAGTAGACCTTTCTCTCTTCAGCAGTATGCTGCCAAAGGGCAGCCAACACAAGCAGGATCCCAACTGCTCACAAGGAGAAGCCACAGCAAGAAGCTCACCAAGTTCACCAGACGACGAAGACCATCATAGCGGTCAAAGAGCTCCAAGACGGCCCGAAAGGAGAAGCAAATTGAGAAAAACATGGTAGCATGGCAGCATCCTGAGGCATGAGAACACTCCATTAACCACAGAGTATAGTTCACCACATCAGACAGAACATTGTGGGGATGCATGCAAACCTGCAAAAAAAAGAATTTTTTTAAATGTTGGGCAAAAGAACCTTTAAAAGAGATGAAAAATTCCCCAGTGTAGATAGATACCTTTGCAGAATACAATGATCACTCTGATCAAGTCATTCTAAGTTTAATAAGTTTAAACTACAAATGAAATTTTAGAACCCATTCCAAAACCTGAAAGCAACTAAAATTTAGATAAACACTTAAGTTCAACCTATACTTAGTGAGTACCAATATCTGCAAATATGTACATGATTTAATACTCACAATGGCTCTGCGTTCCCATTTAACAGATGAGAAGAGGCTCGAAGAGGTAAGGGTGATAGAAGTGGCTGAGTCTTATACTAAAGTCTACAAGTTCAGTATCTACCCGCTCACTGATTCATTTACATACTCTCTGATGTCCCCTATGAGTCAGACAATAAACTGTAAAGCATTCTCTAAGTCAGCTTGGTACACTTTTCTATATCTTAGCCATAATCAGTTGTGTATACACACAGAAAGATTAGTTTACTATTCTCAAAAGACTGCCTACCCTAACACTGAACTTAGGCAGAAAAAAATAATAAGTTTTTAAAATTACTATCAATCTTACTGAACAATAAGCAAAGATGATTAAAGACGTACCTCAAGAAGCACCTGCCATCTTCACTCTACCAGAAAAGCTATGCCACACAGACAACATTAGAAAAATGGTCCAGGCATAGAAATGACAAGGCATCCCTAGGGATCCCCAAGGGTCTGTTAGTTTTCAAATGGAAACCACTTATACTTTTTTTTTAAATCACTAAATGTAAAAAGAGTTTTAACTGGACTAGAACAGGAGAACCAAATGAGTGAGCCTCTCCAGTCCTGAGAATAGCTGGAATGATTTTACTATCTCCACCAAAAACTATTTGTTAACACACGAAGCATTTATTGTTGATTTTACAATAGATTGACTTAAAAAATGTAAAACATAATTCCACTGAAGGACATCTGGAAAGTGCCTGAAGGATTTATTTTAATGCAACAAAAATAGCAAGAACTAAATAAAGCTCCTAGACCCCAATTCATTTTGCATTTTTCCTGTAGTGTCAGGAAAAAACAGGACCTTTTCAAAACAATTTTAAATTTTTAGAATGCTTTGTGAAGACCAGACATTCGTGCTCCTTGTCCTTTCACTGCAGTTTACTCCTTCGACTACTGGTGTTTTTCTTATCCAAAAGTTATTCTGTGAACATACTCTTTTTAAAGAGACTGTCCCTTCACCCCCCGCCCCCCCACTCCCATACTCCTGAATGGACTAGACTTACTCTTTCCATGGCATCCTGGTTGTAGGACAGGTAATACAAGCACATGGATACACCAGTTGCAGCCATAGAAGGACGAGGAATTTCCAGTAATTTCTGTACTCCACCATGAGCAACAAACTCTGTGGCAAACTTGTTATGGAGCAGGAGAGATGCTAGGTGCTAAACAAAGAAAACAACAGTTACCACAGAACAATTTAGAACAATCGTAAAACCTTTTCACAAAACGTTAAATTAAGCTGCTAAATACAATGAGTTCTCAGAAGCAGACAATGACTCCCTCATCCAAGAACAAAATCAATATCGCTTAAGGGGAAAAAAAGAAAAAAACAAAACTGAAGATTCCATAACATTCCTTTTTTCCCTCCCAACCCCAAAGGCTTTTACAAAGGTGAAGAAAAATAAAAAATATTGCTGTAAGTAATGATATAATCCAACAACCATTTTATTATTACATAGTTTCCCTAAAAGGATTTTTATTAACCTTCCCATTTTAATCCTTTTAATACAATCAGTTCTATGTTCTAGCTGTGGCTCAGTCACTGACTCATCAACTAATGAAGTCCTCAAGTGTGCCTTACTTTAAACTGATCTTCAATATATCCCAAAAGAACAGTCTTCAGCAAATTATCAAAATCAGTAAATTCTTCAAACTAATCAGATTGTATTTTAAATAGCTCTTTAAAAGTTTCTTATATTGTAAGTTTTGTTAACATCCTGTTCAACTCCCACTACCGTTTCTAGATGGACCCGCTCTCCTGGGCAATGAACACGCAGGGAGTTCAGTGCAAGGCACAGGCTGCTGGATGACTCTGCACCCAGGCCAATGTGGACAGGGCTCAGAGAGCTAGAGCGCCCCCTCCTGTTTCCCATGCCAAGGTATCTTCCTGGTAGTGACTCAGACACAAAGTACAGACAACACAGATGGGCAACTACATGATTTGACACCTATACACGGCACCCAAGGTCAATGGCAAAAGCAACAGGTACATACCCTCTTCAGAAGTTCTCTCAACACCCTGACTCAGGTTAATCCTTATAACTGGCATTCAAACATCTTTCCTCATTACTCACTGTCTATTATACAGGCCTCTCCCACATTCCCACTCCATCCTTCCCCCAAGAAGCAGCTAAACCAAGTGTGGTTTCCCTCTAACACCTCATGTGATTTTTCTCATTACCTCATTATCATAAAGTGGCAGAATTCCACTGCTGGGATGGACAGGTGGGGAAATGGAGAAGCAGGTGCAACCTTTACTGAGAACCTTAATTCTATTTGGCTCAACGCTCCCTACAACCCAGCTCACCTTCCTCCTGTGTGCAAAGATTCTGCATGTTTTCTCTCCTTATTTTGTATCTCTATATTAAAATTTACTTTCTCCTGAATTTACTATTTTAACCTGTTTTGTTTCTACTAACTTTGAAACCTGTCCTTTCTCCTGCACAATGAGTCTCCTTCTGAACAAAATGGTACACATATCTTTCTACATTTTTATTTCCCTATAGGAAGAATCTCTTCTGTGATTTTTTCCCCTTGTTCGTCCTTACTTCATTTTCTTTAATCCCTTATAGGAGTTTGCATGGAAACAGTTGAATAATGGCACCCATTATAATTCCCCACATAGAAATAGCAACAGCCCCAATCTCTTCTTCCATTGTGTCCTGTTCAGGACCAGATGCTGCATCTGAAAACAATACCTTTTGGCCACTGGAGACAACTTTGACCTCCACCTTCATCCTACAGTTCAAAGTATAACCATGAGTTTACACACACACACACACACACACACACACAATCCCACACTCAAGGACACAAGTTCCTCCAATGCATGTCTGACCTCCTCCAAATTTAAAATTTCTTGAGGCTGAAAAGTAAACTTCCTCATTTCTATTTCATTTAAATATATTCCGGAACTGTGCTGTCCAATGCAGTCGTCACTGGCCACATGGGCTTATTAAATTAAAATTAAAAACTCAATTCCTCAGTGGTACTAGCCACATTTCAAGTGCCCAACAACCACATCTGGCTAGCAGCCACTGGACTGGACATTTCCATCATCCCAGAAAGTTTTATTAGACAGTGATGCTCTGAAATATTAATAATGGAATTCTGGCTTTAAAAGCCCAGAGTGCATCATCACTTCTAAGTCCTTTCTGGAAACTACCATCTCTAAGGGAGAATAAGATCACTCCCTCCTTGGTGCCTCCATGCTTCTTTCACAACATCTGTAATATTTAAAAGAAATCATAAGTTTACTTGTCTGTTCTCTCTTAAAATAAATCTTACAGGGCAAAGACTTGATTTATTTGTCAACAGTTACCTGTTGGCTAGAACTGTATGATAACTACAGTGTTTATTTATTGGCATCTTTGTATCCCTAGCACCTGAACATAATACCTGGCTCACAGAAAACACTCAAAAAATGTTCACCCAAGAATGAAGGCAGAAACATGGTTGCCAGGTGGTGGAAAAATAAGCAGTTTGGCAAACAGAAAATGGGTAAAGAAATAGCAGTAAAGGATTTCTTAGGTTACAAAGGAGCTAAACATAGTAGGGAAGGTAAGTCTAGCCCATGTGGTCCACATCTATCCATGTAAACTAAGGTAACCGAAATGAAAAGGGGTAAGTTGAATGAGTAACACTGTGACTATCACAGTTCTACCAAACAGGTGACTGCTGAAAAGAGTACCCTTAAAATTACTTAATAAAACGTATAACATGAACAACACTGTAACCACCCTGGAAATCCGAAAGAAAACGAACATTCACAATCTTGCTTATCATAAAGTAACTTGAACAATCCACGGAACACGTTTAGCCCAGCCCAAGCCAGTTGCCATCAAGTTGATTCCCACTCATGGTGACCCCACGTGTGTCAGAGTAGCACTGAGCTCCACAGGGTTTTCAATGGCTGATTTTTTAGAAAAAGACTACCAGGCCTTTCTTTTGAAGTGTCTCTGGGTGGAATCAAACCTCCAACCTTTCAGTTAGCAGCTGAGTGCATTAACCATTTGTACCACCCAGGGACTTAGTCCAACCTAGTGTGTGAGAAAAGCTTTATCAAATCTTATTTTTTGTAAGCTGGTGTTATTTGCGTTAACATTTCAAAAGGAGAGAAACAGAGGCTAAATCCAAGTAATCCAATCATTTAAATAAATGTATGGCTTGGAATTTGAAAAAATAAAATAACTTCATTTTTACATTCTATTCTTAATCTTTATTAATTTTTGCTTGTTATATATCATTCTTTCCTGATGTCTAAATGCTCAGGACATCACTGAAAGTTTGCCTTGCTTGTGCTTTTTTTATTAATTGAAATTTCATTTTAAAACTAAATTCTAGCCTAGTGGTGAAAACTCTGTAACTTCAGTTTTTCAAGAAAAGCCTTATTTCAACAGTTCAGTCCACAAGTATTAAGGGAATTCTTTCATTTTTTAAATGACTATTTGTTGATTGCCTCTCATATGCCAGTCCCTGTTCTAAGCAGTAGAGATTCAAAAAAATTAACCCAAAGTTATATGCAAAGATGTTCACTGCAGTGTTCTTTATAACAAAAACAAGTATACCACAAAAGAAAAATAAGCAAATTATGGAACATCTAATTTGTACGGGATAATTATGTAGAAGCATGTAAACATTCTTATGCTACAAGTAAAATAAAAAATCTGGCTAATAATTATTTTAAAATCATCTGTACCTATGAATAAAGATTAGAATGCAACACAAAAACAAAGTTTTATTTTTATTATATTTTAAGAGGGATTATGATGTTATTTTCTTTAGGGTTCCAAGACTGTTACAATGCTGTTCATGTCATACATTTTCTTAAAAAGTAATTTTAATGACCTCATCTCATTTTAATGACTTCCATCTCACAACTGCTTCATATGCATGCAAAAGCTGGACGATGAATAAGGAAGACCCAAGAAGAACTGACACCTCTGAACTGTGGTCCTGGTGACGAAGACTGAATATACCATGAACTGTCAATAGAATGAATAAACCTGTCTTAGAAGAAGTACATCTAGAATGCTCCTTAGAAGCAAGGATGGCGAGACTACGTTTCACATACTTTGGACATGTTATCAGGAGGGATCAGTCCCTGGAGAAGAACATCATGCTTGGTAAAGTAGAGAGTCAGAGAAAAAGAGGAAGACCCCCAATGAGATGGACTGACACAGTGGCTCATGCATAACAATGATTATGAGGATGGTGCAGAACCAGGCAGTGTTTTGTTCTGTTGTACGAAGGGTCGCTATGAGTTGGAACCAACTCAACGGCACCTAACAACAACAACATCTCAGAATGGTACTTTTTTCCAACAGTCACCTGTTGCCTAGAACTATAAGACAGCCACAGTGTTATTCATCCAACTTATCTCTCTCCATTCACATTATCTTAATTATCATGGATAGGTGTGGACCTCGTGGGATAGACTTACCTGTGGGTAGGCCCCTTGTGACCTAGGAAATCATTTGTCTCTACTGAGTTTCAGTCTGCCTACTATTTCTTTACTTATTTTCTGGTTTATATCTGGTTTGCCTCAGATCATCTAACATCATACAATATGTATATGTTAATTATTAAGAGTTTCAAAAAAAGTGTTGTTGCCTGACACAGGGAATATTTAAAAAGTAGCATGACATAAAAAAAAAAAGGTGCTGTCGAGTTTATTCCAACTCATGGTAACCCTAAAGTAGAACTGTGCTCCACAGGGTTCTCAATGGCTGATTTTTCAGAATCAGAACACCAGGCCTTTCTTCTGAAGCAGACTCCAATCTCCGACCTTTTAGTTAGCAGTCAAATGCGTTAACAGTTCACACCACTAGGGATAAGTGAGGCCAATCCCAGGTTTAGCTCTACTTTCTACCTCAACATTCAGCCCTTTAGGATTGACCCCTAAACTTCTGTGGAGGTACTTGGTAACCTCATCTCTTCTAAGTAAGAATTTTTTGTTTGTTACTATTCTGACTCATCTGGCAATAGAAATACCATGAACAATACAACCCAGAGATGCTATACCAAAACACACAAAATTCTCAGCGACCCAATATTTTTAAGAAGATTACCTTGAGTGCCTCAAAAGTAAGGAGGACATCGTTAGTTTGTTTCAGGTCAATATAGAACATCATCAACTCTCGTGATCCAAGTTGCATGAATATGGGAAGCAACTAGAATGAACACCAAAAACAAGTCTTAAATTTTGGCTTTTTCACATTCCCAATTCCCTTCTATGAGAATATAAGATTAAAGAAATGAGGTACCTCTTCTCTTCCCTTATGAAGATAAACATATGAACACACTCTGATCAAATAGGCTTTATCAGAAGAAACCTATATAAGACTATAGCAGTTTGGAGCAAACACTCTTCTGTACTAGAGTTAAGAACACAATCAATGTATAAAATGCTACCATAAAGTACCCCAGAAATAAAACACAATAGTCTCAAAGTGTGAAAAGTACTCTTCTCAAGAAGCTTACCTCCTGGTATTCTCCTAGAGGGGTCAAATACTGGAGAATGAGCCGCTGCTCAATAGCAGGAGTCATAGGGTAAAGGGTATAATTGGTGCCAATCACCCAGGGAGACATTTCTGACCAGCTGCTATTAGACAACTCAACAAACATGCGATCTGGATCAGAAGATGAGAAACCCAACTTTTGCTTGGCTTTTCTAAAGCTCTCTCTGTCTCCCTGTTTTGCTGACTTGTTTTTCCTCAATCCTCCTTCCTCAGGTTTGGTTGCTGAGTTCACTCTGCTACTGGTCTTGTGGCTTGAATCAAGATGAAAAGAGATCTCCATGTCTCCGGAGGCTTCCTCTTGTTCACCATCCACTACATCTACTGCCATGTCTCCATAGTCCATATCCACAGCTTCTTCATCCAGAGGCAAAAGGGGTTCAGAGGAGAGCTTTCGCGGGCTAGGACGCTTGTTTTCTTGCCGCAAAGCCACTTCCTGAAGCTGTAGTTCCCTCAGTCTTCGAAGCACTATTGCCACCTATCAACAGATACTAGAGTAAGAGGGGTTGTCTTTTCTGCATCTTAATTTAAATGATTCTTAATAAATAGTTCTCATTTCCACTTAAGGAGAGCTGAGTATTCATAAACTTAGCCCAATGCCTGGTAATAGTAAGAATGTGATAAATATATTGACTTGATTCCTACAGCTTGATGAAATATGTAAGGCTGAAAGTCTTGTTCCCCATAAAAGTCTCCAGAGACTCCAAAGCAGAAGATTTGCACGTATAAACACCATTTACAACTAATCTGTTTAGACTAAGCTGGGCTATATCATCATACCTGAAGAGGGAGACGTTAGCTATAACCATGATTTTTAAAAACATCTCTGAAAGCCAAACAAGAAGATTTCTCAAACTTGTATATGTTGTAACTTGTATTTTGTTAGGTATTATCATCTATATTGTATATAATTATATAATCTATTTTTCAAGTACACCATTTATTTTTAGCTTTTTCTTTTAAGTACTTACTTTAGAGCCAACCTTGAAAGGTGGTGTTGTGCTTATTTTTAAGAATAGAAAGAGATTATGTCCATAATTTACTTTGAACATCATCCAAATAAAAAAAAGATGGAAAGGCAGCCAGATAGAAGGAAAGGCCGAAGGATGGATATGTAATAAAATAAGTATACTAAAAAGTTCATGATCAATTTAAGTGATGTACATAGAGATGTTCACTGTAAAATTCTTTTCAACTTCCCTATATGTTTGAAAATTTTTATAATACAAATGTTACAGGGGAAGGGAGAGAATGGGACACAGGGTACAATACTATTCTTTATCTGACACAAATCATCATGATCCCTGGCAAGATGAAAAACAGATATTTTTAAATTAAAAAAAAGTAAAAACAAAACTCTTATGAAAATCCTGAAATGTTAAAATTATAGCTATGCTCCAGTAGCATCTACCTTGATTCAGCTCAGTCAGGTAACAAGAAAGAACCTGTGAATATTCTCCCAGGCTATGCAAAGTGTCGTTCTAACATGGTCCTTACCAGCTGTGAATTTTCATCCCTGTAATTGGCAGCAATGTCTTGATTTTCCATAGCACCTCCTAATAGTCCAGTAGAATATGTCCTCAATGGTTGATCAGCCTCTCGGGCCCATTTGAAAAGATTTTCGACAATTCCTTCCTGTAATAAAGGAAATGAAATAGTACAATTCAGAAAAAGTCCCTTTTTTACAATTAAGTCTTATAAAAAATTGTTTGATAAAATATCTCAACACTGCTCATAATAAAAAATGCAAGCAAACTAAACGTCCAGTAGTAGATAGTCTAGTCTGTGAACATGCAACAGAATCCTATTTAAAGCTAGAGATTAGCAATCACCAGAATACAGTCCTACTTTAAATGTTAGGAGCCCTAATAGTGCAGTGGTTAAGAGCCTGGCTGCTAATCAAAAGGTCAGCAGTTCGAATCCACCAGCTACTCCTTGGAAACCCTATGGGGCAGCTGTACTCTGTTCCATAGGGTCACTATAAGTTGGAATCAACTCGACAGCAACGAGTTTGGTTTGGTTTTTGGGTTTAGATGTTAAGACCCAAAAGGTTCCATGGCCAACTGGAGAGCACAAAAAATTCTATATCCCTCTCGGAAGTTCACAATGCAGTTAACATTAATGCTCTGAGAAGTCCTCTTTCAAAGAAGTATTTAACTCCACAACATAGCCCAAACTTATTTTTAATTAATTTTTATTATGAAATATAATACATCTAAACATGTATGGTCCAGTCAAAGAAAATATAAATCACCTACAACCCATCACCCAACTTAAGAAATAGAAATCTCCCACATGCCCCCCGCAACCGCCACCACCTGCCTCCTCCTTCCCCAAAAGGTTCCTATATTCCTGAATGTTAACAATTTTCTTGTTAAACTACTGTTAAGTGTTATATGTTTTTAACTGTATAAATTGAGTGATATTGTACATATTTTTCTGCAACTTGTTTTTTTATTGTTGCATGTAGTTGCCACACTTAAACAGCACTCAACATAAAACAGGCTTTATAAATATTATTTACTCCTCGTAACAATTTACACGATTGGGTTAAAAAAAAACAAAACCTCAAATTCACTGCCTTTGAGTCAATTCCAACTCATGGCAACCCATGTGTGTCAGAGTAGGACTTTGCTCCTTAGGGTTTTCAATGGCTGTAATCTTAAAGAAGTAGGTAGCCAGATCTTTCTTCCATGGTGCCACTGGGTGGATATGAACCATCAACCTTTCAGTTAAGAGTCAAGCACACACCACTTGTGCCACCCAGGGATCTTATATGACTGGGTAGGTACTATTATTTGCAGTTGAGGAAACTGAGGCACAATGAGGTTAAGTAACTTATCCAAGGTCACAAAACTAGTTAAGTGGCAGAGCAGGGGTCTGACTCCAAGCAGTCTACCTCAAGATGCTGTTCACTGAACTGGTTCCCTGGAGTCATCTTCAGATCAAACAGTAGCTTAGTCAGCAGTTTAGTGGAGACAGCTGGCCTTAGGTATTGGGTTCTTTTGGAAAATTATCTATGTATAGCCAGCCTTGAGAAGCAGTAACTCCAGGATCTGACTGGAGGCTGTTTTAGGATATGCTGCATGTTCTTGGTGACTGTTTCTGTAACCTGCCCTGTGCTTTGATGCTATCTGTTGATAAATTAATATAGCAATGGCCTATATAACCCAAGTTCATAGTGACTTCTTGATATGTTTGAGTGACACCACCCAATTTGAATTGTATCTACTCACAATAAACATACTGTTACATTAAAAAAAAAAAGATGCTCTTCACCTCCAAACCCTGCTGCCACTATTTTGTTGGCTTATCCAAAGATCAGCTTGCAAACCATTCTTGTGCAAGAATGTCTCTAGGGTAGATAAGGGAAACAGAACTGCTAAACTGTAGGATATGTTCATTCTCAGCTTTACTAGATGAGGCCACACTATTTTCCAAAGTGATTGCAACAATGCACATTTTTACCAACAGTGAATAAAAGTTCACATTTTCCCACATCTCTGCCGACAATAGACCACTATCAGACTTTTAATTTTTTGCAGTCTCGGTGCAAAAATGGTACTTCATCTAATTTGAATTTGTTTACTAATGAGGTTCAGCATTTACGTGTTTGTTGACCATTCTCACTTCCGTGAAACACTCATGTCTTTTGCCAGGGTCTTTACGTGGATGTAAGTTCTCAATTTTTATGTAACCATATTTAACAATTTTTTTTTATAGTTTGTATATTTTATGTCTTAATAAATTCTTTCTAGAGTCATGGAGACATTCTCTTTTATATTTCAAACTTTTTTAAATTACCACCTGAAGAACACATTTTAAACTATAAAGAATCAAGACAATCTCAAAGAGAAACATGTTAAAGCAGATGAGTAAATTTGTAACAGTCCTGATCTGACCGGATTAAAAGCTTACACTGATCAACTTAACACTATGAAAAACCTTGTACATAAACAATATTCAGATAAAGCACTCAGTTCTATGGCATACTTAACATAATGAAGAAACTACACAGCCAAATAATTTTAAATAAAATATCTGAAGCTTAAATATCTCTGAAAGTACAAGTCAGCAACTTTTTAAAACTAGAATAAAATCAATTTAGCGAATCGCAACCAGTTCTAAAATAAAAATGAAATATATAATATCAGAATGCACCACACAAGTCTGTTTCAAGCAACTTTTTTTTCCATACACATAACATGTGGACTGGGTTGCAAATACAAAAATATAAGATGTTACTCTGGTTCACAGAGTTTGAGCACCACTGCTCTAAAGCAATGAGTCTTAACCCTAGCTTTGGGAAACACCAGTTGACCAACCTGTCCAGAAACAATGATTTCTGCCTCATTAATTTAAAATTCTTTTTTAAAGATGAAAATATTGATTTATATTTAAAAAACTGCCATAGGACACTTCTGAAGAGTAAAGATTATCATGGAATCCAATGCTAAGGTATCACATTGCCAATAAGGTTTGTAACCTGTGCTCTATGATATTACATTCAAGGCAATTTTATTTCCAATCTCATACACGATTATCCTTGAATAAGGCACTATCTCCCACCTTACTTCATTAATACAAGTTAGGCTGTCTGTCAACTACTGACTTCAAAAAGA